CCCCTCGGCGTCCACGTCCTCGTCGTCGCTGTCCTCGTCCATCGATGCGCGCGCGGCGACGCGCTCCTCGACCTCGTCGTCGCTGTCGAAGCAGTAGCCCGCGGCGTCCTCGTCCTCGAAGTCCGAGAGCACGAACGCCTCCGACATGTTCCGGCGCGCGCCGCGCGCGTGTGCCGGCAGGAGGCTGTGTTCCGGAGCGGGCGACTCCCGGCGCTCCCGGCCGTTCCGGCGTACCGGCGCAGCCCCCAGACGCTGTTCCGGCGACGCACACCCTCGAAATTTAGCGGAACAAGGTTCCACACGAGACCTCAACTTCGCATGTTTCCCGCCGTCGTCGGCGCCCCTTTATTGGCGATCCTTTAAGTCCGGCGCGAGCCCGTACTTCCCGAACTGGGGTGCTCCTTCAAACTCGGTCATCTTCCCCGCGCGCGCAGCTCCTGAAAAAAATTGGTGATTGACAGCGGTGCCGGGGGAGCTCGCACGCGTAGGGCCCGGGGAAAGGGCCGCAACCCGACCCCGGCGCCGGCCGCAGCGCACGAGCATGGCTAGGCCGAACCCGCTGGCCGAACCTGCGAACGCGGCGAGGCCGCTCCTTCAGGGTGAAAAGCAAAACTTTTCGAGGCGCCAGCCGAATGAAATCTCTTAGTCTCGAGGCGCATCATTAGCTCGCGTCCGCCGCAGGCGACATTTTACTCAGAGTCGCCCGCTGCTGGTCGTCCGCCTACAAACGCTTGGAGTCGAGCTGCGAGAGCCGAAAATTCGGCGACGGCACTTGGAAACGAATGGAGTTCGGTGAATATGTAATGGGTGAAGTCATTGGACGCGGCAGCAGTGCGGTAGTTCACCAGGCTTGGCAGCGGAAGACGGGAGCATTCGTCGCGATAAAGAAGTTCGGGCGCGACAGTCTCGAGGGAACTGACCTCAAGGCTGTACACACCGAGATTGAGCTTCTGAGCAAGCTCGACCACCCGAACATCGTCAAGTATCTTTGCTCGATCGACGGCAACGACGGTCATCTTCACGTCGTTTTGGAGTACATGGAGAATGGGAGCCTGGCGCTGCGTCGGCGTCCGTCTGTCGTTGCGGGGGACACGTATGCGACGGCTGCGACTCTCTGAGCTCATCGCCACCAGCGATTCCTTCCGAGTGAAATGCTGCTCTTCCAAGGGGCTGCAGATTTTGGGCTCACATTTGTACTGCCCGTCACGCGCATATTCCTTCGCGTGATGACCTGAAGACAGAGAGCAGACCATC